CTTACACTTCTTAGGGTACGTTTCCCAATGACCTTGTCCCACTTCTGCACACACAAGATGGGTAAATATTAAATCTAGTACAATCTCCTAGGGTGTGATGCTATTTATATTCATGCAGAGCCTTAGCTAGCCATGCACAAACTGGGAAAATGTCTAAAAATTGCTTTAGGTATACCTAATTCGGAAAAAAAAATTCCATTAGAAATACAAAGTTAAGTCCGGGCACGGTGGCTCACGCCTGTAATCCTAGCACTCTGGGAGGCTGAGGCGGGCGAATTGCTCGAGGTCAGGAGTTCGAAACCAGCCTGAGCAAGAGCGAGACCCGATAGAAAGAAATTAATTGGCCAACTAATATATGTAGAAAAAATTAGCCGGGCATGGTGGCACATGCCTGTAGTCCCAGCTACTCGGGAGGCTGAGGCAGAAGGATTGCTTGAGCCCAGGAATTTAAGGTTGCTGTGAACTAGGCTGACACTATGGCACTCATTCTAGGCTGGGCAACAAACCGAGATGCTGTTCCAAAAAAAAAAAAAAGAAATACAAAGTTAATAATTGCACAAAATACCCAGGAATGTGAAAAGGCAATAACTTACATGCACCAAACCACAAGACATAAGTTTTTATGAACTTTCTGAAAATTTATTCTCTACCAGGTTTTCTCTCTCTGTTTTCCATCACACAGGTAAATAGAATGAAGATGTAAAGGAAAGACAAACTTATAATCTCTTAAAGAAAATTGGGTCACTTCCCTGTAACTATATCCACCCTCCTATCTCCTCTCCCACCTCCCAAAACATCTATCCCAAACCCATGGGCCATTAAAAACAATAAGGGGGCTTCCTCAAGCAGCAACAGGACATTCGTTCTCAATATTCTTTTCTTACTTCTCCCCAAACCAGTCTATGATGTTGAGAGCATGGGCTGTGGGTTCATGCCATTCCAAAGGATTAGCTGTCCACAATCCTTGGCCTCATTCTCCCCCAATTCAAGAGTGCATATCATTAAGCAAAAGCACAAGCAACATCACAAAGATAATGCTGCATCCATGCATTCTTATTTATACAAACAAGCACATAATTCTAACTTTCAGTGCTGCAACTCTCAGCAGTAGCAAATGTATTTATATTCATGCAGATCTGTGTGGCTTAGAAATAGGGTCTTGCAGAGAAGCTGTGGAGAGGGAGTGAGTATGGGGGAGGTGGTGGAATATCTGCCCAGTAACCTGAGTATCAACCCTTTGCACATAAAAAATTGGGGCATAGCCACCGGCCCAGTAGCCCCAAGATTCCAAACAGCCCTGCACTTCCTATAACACAGGGAGGGAGTTCAACATCCTCCCTCAGATCTGGAATTGGGTTCAGTTCCCCATGAGGACTTCAAAATCTACTACAGAGAAATCGACAAGTGTGCCCTCTACAACACTGCACATAAGAAGAAAAGGTCTGTGCTTAGTTAATTTAGTTAGCATTTAAATTTACAGAAGTATGAACTTCATATAGAACTTGAGTTATTCACCCCTACCCTATAGTGGACCTGCTCCCCATGTCTCTTCACATAATCCAAATTGTTTTAGATCATCTGAATCTAAAACAGATGATTTAGTGAAATTCTAATTATCTAAATATCCATAGAAGAATTACCTTCGTAGGTGCAGTCTCTGGTTGTGATGGATAAGAAACCATATTCATACATCCCTTATCTCTTTTGTGTTCCTTTCTTCCATATAGAAAAGGTTTCCATGATTTTTCCTCTAAAAGGAAGTTAAGTTATAGTAAATAGTGGAAACTCTAAACAGCACAAAAACCATTTCTAGGAATAAGAAATAATTTCCTAATTAAGAAAAAGTTTGATGAAACTAAATCACATTCCTAAACAACATGCCAAAACTAGTCATTTTTTTCACCTAACATATATGAAGTATGATATTCCTATTATACTAAAATTCTACTCACAGCTCAGTGATCCTTTAAGGATGTAGTGACCACAAAGTTAACATCTTAGACTTTGGCAGGAAATAGACCAATACCTTGAAACTCAGCTCAGCCATTTACCAACTATACGAACTTGGGCAAGTTGTTTGTTCTCTCTACATTTATGTTTCATCTGTAAAATGATAAAAATTCATCTAGAATTTACCACACATGACTGATGCAAATACTAAATAATATAATGTACACAAAACACTAGGCACAATGCCTAGCATATATTAATAGTAAGCCTTCAACAATGTCTACAGATAGCAGCAGCAGTATAATAGAAACAACAGCAATAGCAAAGTCTAAATTGCTCTCCAAACTTTATTTCACCTAGTTCCACTTTTGGGCAAACATAAAAACCCCACTGGTAGTTATCTACTGTATCTGTCTCTTTTACCTTTCATGGATAGAGGAAAAGATTTCACCTCTCACCCCTCTCAATTATGTCACTTCCAGTTTCAGGAACTGAAGAACCAATGTACCATCTCCAGTCACTCTCTTCCCCTGCTGTAGTGACTCTTGAAGCCATACGTCAAGATGAAGAAAGCCTAGATCCTAAGTCACTGGATGGAGAAGTCACTAGACCTGCTTCATACATTAGGTGAATAAAAAATAAATCTCTGATGTGCTAAGCCACTGAAATATGAGGTTTGTTGATTCCTGCAGCAACCTATCTTATCCTGACCAACAGGTACTCATATACCACTAAAAGGGATCCTAATACACTTTCAGGGGATGAGGGGTGGGGTAGAAGAGTGCTTCAATTTTTTTTAAAAACTTGCTTTTTGTCAATCTTTATATTCTTTACTTTGTAATACCACATCATATTGCAAGTAAATTGACTTTTCAAACTCTCTATGCTTTTTCCTCATTTTCTATTTTTTAAACTAAAAAGGAAAATATTTACATTTTACTTATATTTATTATATAGATCAATACTGGGGCTTTTGCTGGGTCATCTGTCACACAGTCATAGGTCACCTACAATACCCAAGGTATCCTGTGATCATAGTAGAGGCCAGAACAAGGAAGGGGTAATGGGAGAATCCTCAAACACTCAGTCACTCCTGGCTTGTGGCAACATGAAACAGTTAAGTGGAATTATGGATATTATCTATTTTAAACTCAGGAAGTGGACATGTGGTTTAAAATGTTTTTACTAAAAGCAAAAAGGTTTTGTGTACCATTAAAATTTACCTAAATATATTATTTATTTTACTTTATTTCATCATATTTCTTTGTGAATGTCATAGAAGATATGTAACATACTGACATAGTAGCACATCATGTATTTAAAAATACACATGTGTGATTGGGTCTGTGCTCAAAAGTAAATTTAATGATAGAAGCAGGAGATAAAAGTCATTTGGAACTGACACTTTAGAGAAGAGCTTTCAAACTTCTTGTCACTATTTAACATCATTCCTAAACTGCTTTTAATCATTTTCCAAAAAACTAAAAGAAGAGAAAATCAGTACAAAAGTGGAGGAAAATGCACATTATAGTAACAGTTTCACAAAGACTTCATGATCCAACAAAGTCAGAAAGAAGCAGAAATGATAGTGAAGAGTGTTAATTTTATTCAGAAATGAAGAACAAAGCTTTCTGCTCCAACTAAAAAGTCTCATTTCCACATCTGAAAACCAGCAGTGGCTCTGTCAGATAACCAGAGGGATGAGGTGACTGCTCTCCACACACAGAAGGAGAACTAAGGGCAGATTTTCACATGGGTCACAAATGTTTCCACGGGCGCTGTAGACTCCAAAGGAGTGGTGGCCAGGGAAACAGACAGGAGGGTCAGCAGATGACCCCAAGAAAGGCATTTCATTAGGCCAAGATCCAGACCAATTACTGGAGAATCACTCATTCAGCCAAGTAAGAGTTATTTCAAATTCCTACAGAAAGTTAAATGATATCTGGGAATTTCTGAGCCAAATGGCATCATATGATCTACGCCCCATCTCCTAGCACTTCTCTCGCCACCAATAAGAGGTGAAGCTAGGATTTAAACCCAAGAATGTCTGACTTCAAAGCCCTAATGAAAATAGCAGCACATAAAAGGGACCTCACAGAATAGGTAGGACTTGAAAATGAGACTGGCTAGGACTGAAAGGGGAGCAGCAGTGGAAGGGAACAGCAAGAGCAAAAGCATGGAGGCAGGAAACCTTGGGTATGTGCAGGAATTGCCAAGCGGTGGTGCAGACAACACAGGAGTGGAGGGAAGTGGGCCAAGACAAGGTTGGAAAGGTTGGCCCAGGCCTTCCAGGAGAAGGTTCTGTGGGATCAGTCAGGAAGGTAGACTTTATTCCAGATGCAATGAGTAATTATTGAGGGCTTTAAAGCAGAGGAATGGCATAACTGCAAGTAGACACTGGAAAATTATTCTTGCTGTGACATGGAGGATAGATCAAAGAAGAGTAAGAAGGTACCTTGCACATAGCATATAATTAATATTAAATGGGTAAAGAGAAAGACCAACTTAAAATTTATTGTGTTTTTCTAACATGATATGAAACCCATTCTATCCAATCCTATTTAATATTTTTTGGTTTGCTACTTAGAGAACAAACTCCATTGATTCTAGGAAGAAATAATGGTGCTATTGCTTCCAAAATAAAAAGTCAATTCACCAATAAAATGTGGCCCTTTAAATGTTGCCATGAAAGTGTCTACTCTTGCAGAAATTAACATTCTCCTCTTCTATTCAGAGGGAGGTACATCTGAACTGCTGTTGCTGTTGCTGAAAAAGAAAACAAAATTAAACAAGTACAACAGTTAGGCAATGAGGAGTGATCCTCTCCCACTTCTGCAACCACGTGTAAAAGTTATTCAAAAATAAGGAAATCACAAGTTGTAACCTCACATTTCCTATGCTCTCTTGTAGTGTCCAGGTCAAACATACCAAGCCGTAACCTCTTGATGATGCCAAACTTTCCTCTGCACAGGTCATGGTACCATCTGCAAAGAATCAACTACTCAGTGAGAAGCCAAAGTGGAAAAACACTGAGACGAGTCATAACCTACCTGATTTTCTTCATGGGAAACCCTCATCTGCTCCTTGAGGACAGACATTCGTGCTGCCTCTTCTTTTCTCAAAACTCTCTCCTTCTTAAGCTCAGGACTCCAGAAAGTCTTGATACTATTCATGGAAGACCCCAACTTGCTGTCCTTGATGTCTAGCTCTTTCCGGAGGAGGTCGTTCTCTCTCTGGAGTTCCTTGAGCTGGGCTTGAAGATCTAACATCGTGCTGTCTCTTACCTGCCTCAACATGGAGGGGACCTGGTGGTGGTGATGATGGGATGTGCTAGTCAGACCACCATGCTGATCCGTGTATGAAAGGACATCTGTGTGGGAAAGTCCAGCGGAAGCAATATTGGGACTACTCCCCATGGCTGTGACCCGGCCTCCATACACAGCTCGATTGGTAGCCCTTCCCAGAGTCATGGTGCCCTTTGGGTAAGTTGTTGAAGCCACCCCTTCATGATCACTCAGATACATGGGTCCAGACGTAGCATAGGCTGCATTGAGGGACTGGATGTTCTCCATAGACAGAGTCTTGCCTGTTCCTCCACCTCCCCCGCTACTTGTTCTTCGGTGGCCCAAGCGAGGAGACCTTGGCAAACGAGGAGATCTGGAAGGGCTACCTTCCAGATTGGTGATTGTTCTTGCACTTCCATACATTTTTCTTCTATTATGAGGTACTATAGAAGAGAAGAAATGCTATACTAAGTTGGGGTTTAAGCTAATATTTTCACACTTGTCCAGGATTTTCACTGCATTCTCTTCATAGTCTATATCAGAAAATAACTCCAGAGATCTGCAAAATGAGAAAAAGGATAATTAAAAATAAATTTGTTTAGAACTCTATAACTGCATTATATTTTAAAACATATAGATAGATAAGCAATAATGATAGATGAACAAAAGACAGATGATTAATACAGTCACACCTATCATATTCATTTAAAAAGAAAAATAACCCCAAAATTTTACTTACTACATGTGAACTTTTTACAAATTCTCCCTGCCCTGGCTCCAAGCAAGATCAAAATTTCTCAGAGCAAAAAAGCAACTCTTTTCCTTTTGAAAATGAAGCCCTCCATTTTGGTTTGTGCTCAGTTAGAGTTAGAACCTCCAGAAAAGTCACCATGCAATCCCCACCATGGAGACCTCAGCTATAAAATAATCCATGCTTAGGGACATGGCCCCCATACTCATGTGGCTTGACAGTGACTCTGAAAAGCTGCTGCTTCCTAGGATGTCAAATATTTGGCAAGCATGTTGTTACTTTCCCCTCCTGTACCCATTACAGGTATCACTAACCCATCCAAGTCTGCTTTTCCACTAGGTTCAGAACTCTTCTCAACACAACATTCTGGATGTTTCACCACCAATCAACTGGCATCGACACATGGATTGCAACTATTGGCCATCCTGGGGTAGAAGAAAAAGAGGTGTCTCAACCAATAGGATGCCTACACATATAGCCATATCCTCAATGCTATCACCAGAGAAACAACAGTCCTGTCTCTTTCCCCTTTCACACACTCTTTCAGGCTGGCCTTTTGAGAATTCTTTTCCATTTTCGTTGACCTTAATATTCATATTAACCACTTCACACCTGTATAGAAATGGCACAAGGGAGCAGCACATCATGTTAGAGTTCCTGGTCCCGTAACTCCTAGAGAAAAGTAGTAGAAGCTCCCCGTTCGTGTTACTTAAGTATATTAGTGCAGATTTTATATAGCTGGGGCTATGGGGTTGTGATTAATTAGGACCCAAACGGCCTTAATGGGCCATTATGGCCTCTGGTTCTTCCTCCTAGAGTGCACTTTCATTTTCTTCAGCTTTACAATAACAGAACAGATTCTGGAAAAGGGCAAACTGAGGTTCAGATCTCCACTCTAATACTAACGAGATGAGTGGCCTTACGCAAATTATTTACTGTTATGAGTTTCCACTCTCCAATCAATAAAACGCAGTTAATACCACCTAACTCATAGTATTATAAGATTTGTGCCTAGCACAAAACAGGCAATGAATTATTTTTGTTGGCAATGTCTCAGTGAGATAAGTGCAGTAATAGCAATAGACAGGGGCATCTTTTATCTTCATCTGCCCATCATTTATCCCTACCCCACCCCTCCATCGCCCCTCACACACTTTCTGGCAATACTTTCTCTTTTTTTCTTAGAGGAATTTTTACCTGCCCCTACTCATAGTCTACAAGGCTTAGGTAAGGCTGACTCCCTCCCCTCCATCCTGGACGGTGGCAGGGTGAGAACATGAGCCAAGCCTGCCCAATCATCATATTCCATTTCCAGACATGGTAGCTAGGGGTGGGTATGTGACCCACATTGGTTCAGAAAGACTCCATACAATGCCTTTATCTGGAACAACTGGGAAAGATAAGTTCGTTTTCAGCTGGAATCACTGTTTTCAAGGGGGATCTCTGAGTACTACCATGTGGAAAAGGCATCCCTGAGCGTGAAGCTAGTGCAAAGGAAAGCAGGACTAAACTCTGAAGAGTGTGAAACCAAGCCAGGTGACACACTTGACACTACAGATCTAGCAGTCACTGAAGCAGCATCTATGCCCAGGCCATTTTAGTTATATATGCCAGGTAGACTGATTGCATTAATGGCCCCAGTTCTTTGTCCCTTCATTATCTATATTTTTGGCAGTGCTCTCCCAATCTGATGCTGGGTTCAGTCATGTGACTTGCTTTGACCAATAACATAATAACATATGTGAAGCAAGCAGAGGCCTGAAGTAGCACTTGTATGTTTACTCTCTTGCTCATTTTCTTCTACCATAGCAATTAGAACATGCCCCATCTAGCCTGATGGAAGATGAGAAACATAAAACAGAGCCAAACTGTCCCAGCCCACAGCCAACCAACCCCAGGATGTGTGAACCAGCCCAGCCAAGGTCAGCAGAGCTGCCCACCACTTGCATAAGCAAGCACAGCTGAGATCAGCTGAGCACCACAAACTCATGGACTAAATGCATGCTTCTTAGTGCGTCACTCATGTTTGTGGTTGGTTGCTTCGCCACCTTACCTGAGCAATGGATAACATACATTCGTCCATAAATTTCCTTTTTTTTTTTTTTTTTTTGAGACAGAGTCTCACTTTGTTGCCCAGGCTAGAGTGAGTGCCATGGCGTCAGCCTGGCTCACAGCAACCTCAAACTCCGGGGCTCAGCGATCCTACTGCCTCAGCCTCCCGAGTAGCTGGGACTACAGGCATGCACCACCAGGCCCGGCTAATTTTTTGTATATATATTTTTAGTTGGTCAATTAATTTATTTCTATTTTTGGTAGAGACGGGGTCTCGCTCAGGCTGGTTTCGAACTCCTGACCTTGAGCAATCCGCCCGCCTCGGCCTCCCAAAGTGCTAGGATTACAGGCGTGAGCCACCACGCCCGGCCTCATAAATTTCCTTTTTGCTGCATTCAATACTAGTTAGAATTTCTGTCACGTATATCCTAAGGAGTCCTCACACATACTATGAAAAAATGTTTTCCATAAAGCTTTCCCCTTTCCCTAAAAAGGCCTTAAAAATTATACACCTGTTTCTAACTGAAGAACTACATTTTAAACGATTATGTTGCTCAGGGCTTAATTTTGTTTTCCTTGGAAATACATAAAAAATCATTTTGTATCAAGATTTTTGCATGAATAATTTGTTTTGCAAAAAAAGGGCAAATCAACAGTTTCAACATAAATGATCAGTGTTATGGTTATACAAATATTTAATAAGAAGGAAAAATGTTCATGACATACTGGTGGGGGGAAGCAGACTACAAAACGTTTTTGTGATGTGCTCACACTTTTATAAAACACATACACAAATGCATATACAATCACTAGCAGAGAAGACTGGAATGACGCACATCAAAATGGTGCCAGTGGTGGGACTCCAAGAGGTTTTCATATTCTTCCTTTTGTTTATTTGTATGCTCTAAATTTTCTATAACAATATATACTCTTGTCATAAGAAAATATTTTTTGTTTTCTTTCTATAATTCTAATGGTTAAATGAATTTGTTATCCTTTCTGTGCTTAGAATCTATGTATCCAGGTCCTAGCTGGGCCATCACTTACAGATTCTTCCTAGAAGTGATTAACTCTAAACTCGTCCTCCCCTGTCTGCTCCCCTTGTGCCTAGAAACAGACATTTCTGAAGTCTCTGGCTAGGTTTGAGGTCCCTATCCTGAATGCCATAAAATTTATATCCACACACATTTAATCCTCAGCCATTTTACCAGTGCAGCTGGCCAAAGCTTTGGAGTACTGCCACAACCAAGAAACAAAAAGTTAATTTGTCCCTTTTGGAAACACACATATGCAACACAGGTAACATATAACATACATAGATATATCATCTTGTTTGAAATAATGTTTCCTTATTTAAAAAGCAATATATATTGACACTGGGCCACAGTTTCCTTAGGCTCTCCTTTTCTAGGCTTAGTATCAGATTTATGTTAGTGCCACAGAATGGACTGAGAAGCTTTACATTTCTCATATGTTCTGGGACAGTTAGCATAATATGAGTCTTCCCTCATCCTGAAAATGTTTGATAGAACACACCTATAAAACTGAATGGGCTGGGTTGCTGGTTATCTTTTCATTTTTTACTGTTTACTGATCTATTTGGGTTTGCTACCTACTTTGTGTCAATTATCATTAAAATCTTTCTTCATAAAGTCTTTCCCATCTAGATTTTTCAGTTTTATGGTATTGCTTTGTATAACATTTCCTTAATTTAAAAATCACCTCCAGTTATTTCCCCATCTCATTTCTAAGGTTGTCTGTATTTTTCTACTTCTCTGAATGACAATATGACAAATGTTTCTCTATTTTCTTAGTGTTTCAATGACATACCTTTTGGTTTTATTGAAACATTTTACTACATTCTGCTTTCCACTTCATTGGCATTTCTTTATCTTTAATAATAATTTCTACTTCCTTTGTGTTTAGTTATCTTTGCTTTTTTGCATTGAATATTCATTTATCTTCAATCACATTTTCTAATGAATGCATATAATATTATACACATGGCTGTATATTCCAGTATCAAATGTATAAAATGACTCTTGTCATTTGTATAAATAGCTTCCTATTTTTCCTCTGAAATTTTTTTCTATCCCAGGAATTATTCAGAAGAATATATTTAAATGTCAAAGTGAAGAGAAATTTTGAGGTAAAATTTTGTAGTTCTAACTTTATTGCATTGGGAATATAAAATATAACACATATGTTTTCTAATCTTTTAAATTTGTCAAGACTTTCTAATTGACTGAATACTTTTCTTAATTGTTAAAACAGCTAATAGATTATAGAAAATTTAGGGATTATAGATATGCATAAAGAAGAAAATAACAACACTTAATCCTGTCACTTACAGACAACCTGTGAACAAGTTGATGTTGCTTCCAATTCCTTTCAAGAGTGTGTGCACATATATACAATTTTAGACAAAGTATTATATTCTATATACACTCTTGTACCCTCCTTTTTTCTTCAATGTTTTATTCTTAACATCATCTTCTTTTTCCATTTACCATAAATGCCCTAAAATATATTTAGACAACATGATTTTTAATGGCACCATGAGTATCCAAAGATGGCCATCAAAATTCTTCCCCTTCCAGGAACATTTGTCTTTACTTCCATCAAGAAATGGATTCTAGGCTGGGTGCTGTGGCTCACGCCTGTAATCCTAGCACTCTGGGAGGCTGAGGCGGGTGGATTGCTCAATGTCAGGAGTTCGAAACCAGCCTGAGCAAGAGCGAGACTCTGTCTCTACT